CCATATTATCAACGTTTTTCTTCAGGTGATTCGAGTTTTGAGTTCAATGCCAGACTACAGCAGTGAATATGCCAATGAAGATGAGGATAACTATCTGAATAATGTAAATAATGAAAGCTTTCTGCTTCTGTATAGCTAAGCAACTAAATACCATTAGCTGATAGTGTAGCAGAGGTTTTATCGTACTGAACGTGACAAAACGAGATTCCATGCCACACTGGATTTGAGCTGAAGGAATTGGTCATCATTCCAGTATGTGAATTGTCTGATGGTCGCGATAAGACAATGCTCATCAAATCAGATGGGTGTTGGTTATCTAAACGATCACGATAGAAACGTTTACAGGAAACCACATCTGTACATTTTTCTCTCTTAAAAATGACAGTAAATTTCTGATCGAAATTGAATATTTCTAATAATTTGCTGGATTTACGATACAGGAGGTTGAGTTTATAAAGATTTTTTTTGTTTCTTAAAAAATCAACAAAATCTTTTAAGGAAATGTTACAGGATATCTATACATGCATGTTCGTAATTATTTCTTTTATCTATTTCCATGATATATTTTTATAGTTAAAATTTCTTTAATATTGAAATATTAAAATTGATATAAAAAAATTTATTCAGTTGGGAGTTTATATAATGTACGTTTTTATTTGCCATACCAATCTAAATATCATCATGTACTTTAATTTACATTGGTGAAACTTCCACATATTTAAATTAACATATTTCGAAATAGAAAAATAAAATGTATCCTACCTAACCCAATGCATTAATTATCCGCAAAAATAATTTCGAAGATAATTTCGAGCTTACAAATGCTCGGGGTGTTAAGATATGAAATAAGCGACAAATTAGAAAAGCTATCCAAAGTGCATTTATAAATACTAAATATAAGACCAAAAATAATCCTTCAAATATTTCCTTTTTTAAAAGAAATAACATTCTACAAGATACAATATATATTGACGGCCATGAAAATTAAATATGTTAAAGTCAAAATGTTTACTCACAGCTTTAGTAAATTAGTGATAATAATAATAACAGCAATATTACACCAATTCATAGTCGAATGGATAAAGTTAATAAACACAATGATATTTTTTCTGATATGGGCTACGCCAAAAACTTTTACATTTAGCTTTGAAAAATACCTCATTGAATGTAACGCTCCGGTTTGAAAAGTCTTCGTAATATAACTTACATACATATACACACACACACACACATATATATATATATATATATATATATATATATATATATATATATATATGTGTGTGTGTTTGTGTGTGTGTTTGCGTGTACATATATATATAAATATATATATATATATATATATATATATATATATATATATATATATATATATATATATACATAGATATATTATATTATATTATTTAGATTTACAATGCTTCGAGACAAGCACTTCTGAGGCTAACGAAAGCCGTTGAAGAACAGTTTGAAGTAGACTATCCCTATGTTGAAATAACTTTGTTTTTCTGCTGTAAAATATATGCTCTGTTAAAAATTTCCAAGAAAAAAATCCACTTAACTGTGGATCTGTTTTAATAAGTAATATTATATGTTAGATTATATACCAACGGATCGATTACCTTATATCATACACACACACACACACACACACACACACACACACACACACACACACACACACATATATATATATATATATATATATATATATATATATATATATATATATATATATATATACCGTGATACAGAGAGCATGGTCGTTTTTGAACAATTCACATCGTGAATTATAACTTTAAATAAATCATTTTAACATCAATATGGTCGTATTGAATTGCCATTTGATAAAATCAAGTGTGGAAAAAAACATCCAGAATGTCATTTCCGTGTTCATTGATGGCTTTCTGAATGCTTTCTTGGTAGTTGACCTCCAATCATTCCAGCTCTGTCGATTTCTACGCGATTAGATTACATAACATCATACAATGTACGGTGTTTATGCTAGTACTCACGTGACTACAGTCTTCCCCGCAAGATATAATCACACATGGATAAATCCGGGTAGTGATTGTGACAAGGAATGTCAGCAAACCTGAAAATGAGGCAATCACACAAGATAGATCGAAGAACGTACATTGATGGTTTAGCTCTATCTACTGTCCTGCTAAAACTACACACGTATCTTTTCATTGTGATTCAGTCACAAAGAAGTTGTTTATCGTTTCAATGTAATGCTCGGTGTTCACAGTAAAATTATTTCCATTATGGTCTTCCAAAATTAAGGACGAAGGACACTAGCTTCCTCAACAGTGCACCAAACCGTCACATTTGGATTTTCAAGAGGTCAAAAGGACAATTCTGTTGACAGAACGTGTCTTTCATCTAAAAATGAACCTCATCACGAATAAACAAATGAGTTGGTCATTTGTCTCCAATATTGCTTCTAACTGACGTGGAAAGTTGTGCTTTTTTGTCTTGATCTCATTCAATGACCAATCTGTAGGTGTAGAAATGCAGTTATTCATGCAAAATGGGTCTTACCAAAGAATAATCGATGACATGCTCAGTAGTATGTCACTGAGAAGAGCGATTCCGACTGCGCAGCAAAACTTGTTTGATGCGTTTCACAATTTCTGGTGTAAGCTCCGTTCGTGGATACCCCAACTGTCTGCGATACATTAGTGCACCCGATGTACTAAGAGCATGAATCCATCGTAAGTTTGTCTTTCGAATGAGAACGACCTGATTTCGGTGAATGATGAATCGTCGAGGAAACTCATTCTGTACTGCGTTGAAAGGCCCGCCATTATTCATGAAAATATTGTCAGCAAACAGGGGAGGGCATTTCGTCCTCAGGACTCAACTGAAAAAACCGAAGTGACATATATCCCTCCCACCGGGGCTAGGCAATATCCATTTCAATTACGTCCGTCCCCTCTGCCTCCACTCTGTCTCTCTCTCAGTCTGACTCTCTATGTCTCTCTGTATATATATATATATATATATATATATATATATAGATATTATATATATATATATATATATATATATATATATATATATATATATAACGCATTATCCTAATAATGCATGTTAAACCTAATATCAAAATTACCAGTAAAGCATTTCATTTGATTATGCTTGTTTCCGTCTTTCAGACTACGCTTTCTTTTTGACAGAATTTTACGCAAGCTCGCCCACATAGGACAACATGTAGAATCTAATTAAATATATACATACGATTTAATGAATTTCGAAAAAAATAAACATTCGGAGTCTCTTATTTTCTTGCGGCATTAACTTAATTACATTTTTCTTTGCCATTCGCAAGAAGGAAAATATGAATAAAAGTTATAATGTTTGTTTCACATATAAATTATTGACATTTAATGGATTTACCGTGAGGAATGTCGACAGGATTGGAAAATACTTACTATAAGAAATATCAATATGTTGAAGCCATCAATGCCTCTATTTGTAATATGTCTCTCACAGATCATTTTTTTTTGCTCGAGCTGTACATAATACATTTCTGCATTTCCGACTTTTAAAAATTTCTTACTATAAAATTGCTTTCATTTTCCGTTCAGTGTGAAGAATCCTGTGCTTTGTTGCTAACTTCATTATATGCCGAAGAGATACAGACATCTCTGGAAAAGATTCAATTATAAAGGTTTTCAAATAATATTTGATGACAAACTTAAAAAGCATTAAGCTTTAGTCTACCGCTAACAAATACGAATAAAATGTAGTACAAAACATTCATGCACATTCATTCTGAACAAAAAATATCGAGAATAATTAACGGCTGAACCAGAGATGGGAAAAGCATAAGATAAAATTTGCAGGATATTTTCATTACCAAAATATTTCATTCGATATGCCTTGTTGCATCAGGACATAGGTGATAACCGTTTTTGATATATTTCTATCTTGTGTCGTTCTTAGCGGTTTTTCTCCCTTTGATAATGCTCCCGGCCCCGTTAAGTCATCCATACAAACAAAAGAGATAATTGGCTGACTTCCTCCGTGATTGATACGTTATCCTCATTATATGTCCAAGAAAGTTCAAGGCATTCCTAATTGCAAATAAAAGTGTTTTTATTGGCCATTTTCTTCAAAGTTTCTTTCTTGCTTAATCGCTCTGTTCATAGAATTGTCTGTGTAATTCTATAGAATCACTTTTCTGCTGCTTAGATTTATCTTCATCCGACGATGGATATTACATATCAATCCAGCACTATTTTGTTCTCTTGGTGAAATTGGTCCGTTTATCAGCAACTTGCTGCTTTCGCTGTTTCAAATCTGTTTTTAAATATTTTAGACATCCTACTGTTTGTGCTTAAAAAAACTCTCAGTTGGTGTTTAGATGTCGTTGATGGAATATACGATCGCAAAAAGGTAACAACGTTAGTAACAACAATAAACTAGATCCGGACCTATTAACGATATAAAAAATAAGCATAACATAATAATAATTCGGAAGAAGGTATAATCGAAATATATTGCCAGAACAGTTACTCAAAATACAACAGGAAAAACTGTAGAAAGTAAAAATATCTATGAACACAAAAGAGACTTTATAAACAACAATTTATCAAATGCATTATTTATAAAAACATATACAAATACAACCACCATTTTATTCTAAAGCATGCCACACCTATTAAAAAAAATTACGATAAAGAAAATTATCGCAAGTGACACAATCGAATTTTATCAAAATATAAATCTGCGTCGGGGATTAATTTCCATATTTCCTTTCCTAAAGGAATTAATATTTTCCAAGCCAAAATACATGACCAAAAATATGCAAAAATAAAATATAGAATAAGGTTAAGGTTAATCCATAACCTCATGTTATTCAAAATATATAACAAACAAATCAGCCCCCAACTCAAAAACTATTTAAATACTAAGATTCATATATATATATATATATATATATATATATATATATATATATATATATATATATATATATTGGCGAGAGAGACAAAAAAAAATAGATAGATAGATAGATAGATAGATAGATAGATAGATAGATAGATATAAACGAAAAAATCATCACCGCTAACTTTCGTCTATTAGGCATTGAACTTTATCACCTATTGTCTATACAATTTCCTAACTTTTCCGTTACCCTGATGAATATTCATGAACTTTCCTATACTTAGAGCTTAACAACCAGTAACTTTATTTTCCTTATATATAAATACTTATCAAAAAATAACAACGCTACCCATGATAATGTCCACCAGATGTCGAAACGCTTCGTCAAGTTTCCATTTTGTTCTTTATCTTTCACAAACACACACACACACACACACACACAAACACACACACACACACTCCTCAGCGATCGTTTTATCTTCAGAGTTTTTCTGTATCCGTGATAGTAGCCGAATCTTCATTTGTAGAAAAAAAACAGGGGCATATTGTCGGGTCCAGGAGCTTTACCGGGTTTCATGAATAATTCACGAAATGTTTCGGGAGTGACATTTAATGCCAAGGGAAGAAAGTCAGGATTGGTGTTTCGACAGAGATCTTCCCGTGTGGTGGCTTTGATCGTTGAGAAGTGACTTTTTTCCAAAGGTCCAGCATGAACGCAGGATCTGTAAATGGGATGTTACAGTCTGCGTCCTTAAGTCTGTTGGGTTGATCTGCCAAAGATTCCTTTTGTGGAAGCGTAGAAGTGACACATATCACATTTGCACCTATATTTCTGAATTTTCCTTTCCTTCAATTGCCACCAGGTATTCTGGATTGCGTTTAGTCGTGTTGGGTAGTTTTTCGCTGCTTCGTGATAGACCTTTTTCTTTTCAACTTAGTGGATATTCTCGAAAGCCAGGCATGCATCTCGTTATGGATTAATCAACTATTCAATTTATTCTTGACGCTTAACGAACCAGTATCCATTTTCTCTTTGCTGATAAGCAAATAGTTCTTCGGGTGCTTATGTCTTTGCATCTTGCAGGGCTGTCCATTGTCCTTTTCAGGTCACTGTATCCGATGTGTCGTTGAAATATTTTTTCAAAAAGCAAAGAAACAAAATATATATATATATATATATATATATATATATATATATATATATATATATATATATATATATATATATTATTTACCCGCTGACCCACGCAGCAAGATGTGTCACAAGGCCGAGTTTAAGGCGTGGTATTCGAGCCCTATAGAACACGTAGAAACGGGGTCCATTTCCCGAGACTCTTCACTTAGGCAGGGCCTCTTCTTGATATACCCTCTGACATGTTCCAGGTAAGTATATATATATATATATATATATATATATATATATATATATATATATATATATATATATATATATATGCTCTATAAAAATTTATTTCCGCTGAGCTCTCTGGGAAGGAAGTTTGGGTTTGCAAACAGTGACTATTAATAATGCAAGACATTTCGGTGAATCAAATCGAGTTCTCTCAGTCACTGTGTGTTTATCTAAAAATAAATATGCTTAAATTCACCTTCATCGCTGCCGTGTGCCAAAGGCTTAGTGATAGAATCCCAGACTGTCGCCAATTCAGTCGAATTTCGATCTTAGCTAGATGCAACCGGACGTCTAGTCGCAATGATGAGCTGTGATACAGCGAAACAGTCTTTCTGTAGATGACAATATATATATATATATATATATATATATATATATATATATATATATATATATATATATATATATATATATATATATATATAGATAGATAGAGAGATAGATAGGTACGTAGTCTCATTCATCATATTTATCCTCGTGCGAATTTTAAAGTTACTATGTAATGACGTTACAATTGATAAAACTATAGTCTGACACATAATTAGTCTCTACTCTAGTATATTAGTAATAATTAAGTGAGAAAAATAGTGAATCTATATTAACTGCAATACATATAAAACGCCTTCATACAAGCTGACTAACATCGTTTACCTGCAACACACTTATATAAATCATTTATAAGTTCAGAAATTTTCTCCACCTCCAGTTGGTGTAGTTGATAGCTTGTCTCACTAAAACAATTACGAGTGAGTAGTGAGTTCGATCCTCACTGGGTTCCCATTGCTTTCGGCTTTGTGCCACATCTAAGCTACGCTTGGAATATCACTATTATTTTAGAACTTAATCATCCCAATATTTGACGCGCAGTATATCTGTCAACTGTAAATATATTACAGAATATTTAAGATAGTGCATGTCAACAAAAGATTGCATTGTGTCGTTCTACGACACGTGGTCAGAAGTTTAGCTCCACCTCTCACCTTCTTTCGTATATGTATTTTCGAATTTCTACTTAACATTTGAAAATAGATACTATGATTTTTACCAATCCACAACACATTCTAAGCAATTATTTTCGTTCTTTATATTTACAGATATTTTTTTTAAAAAAGTTGTTTCAGTTACAAGCATAAATGTAATACTGACAATATGTAGATGACATTTGAAATATACACACTTTTGTATATATATATGACCTCTCATTTAATAATTTATATAAGGTTTTGGGGGATTTTAGGTTGTGTTCACTAGAACAGAATACCTTCATTAAATACTTGTAAATATTCTCGAAATATTAAATATGACAATGCTTACTTTCTAAGTAAAGCATAAAGTCTTCCCTTTACACATCAGATTCTGTCAAGTGTTATATTTCATTTGTTTGCCTCTGATTTTGTTTTGTAATTTCATTACATCTCAAAACGGTGCGAAAGAATATATGATTTCTCGAGCTGTCCTTCTGAGCGCAACTAATTCTTTCTGATTTTAGACGTATATTTTTTTTATATCTTGCCCCATTTATAAAAGAAAATGTAAAGATGTAATGCGCTGAGGAATTTAGCTGAATTAGTATTGACATTGTGTCATGTTGATTTTATTTCTGCTTTTTTAAGTAACAAGGCTTAAAGGAAAAAAATAAGTTCCGTTGATCTACAAGCGGAATTATAACGTAAAAATACGAATATTATATTTTTATAAGTATTCTGAATTGAAAAAACTCTTTACTTATTCTACATATTGCTTGACTTATGATATAGAATTTTTAATACACGCAAAAATAGTATAACAGATTAAAGTAAATAAGACAATATATAAAAGTAAAAGTCTTCAGCGAAGTTGTTCAGATTCTTTTGGAAATGATCCACTTTCTAAACTGCTCATGGATACTTTTATTACCGAATTCAGATCAGCACAACAAAAGTTTAAACATAATGTTAAAATTTGTATTAGGCCATTCGTAGGTTACAACGAAATCATTGTGTAGTGTTGGGAAATTTGTCAAAACGTCTTTAAAAACGAAAACAAATAGACATTTTCAACGATGAAATATTTTTAACTGTTAAATCATATCTCAATTACATGTCATTTAAATATTCATGAAACCTAGCGGACACTATTCGTAACATTATATAAATATATACATGCAACAAAATATTTCTTATTTAACAATTAAAATATTTCATCTTTCAAAATGGCTAAATGTATAACCGAAACGCTCGTATTAAAACAACATTCGGAGAGTTTTTTATATAATTTAACATCTGATAAAAAGAATTAGATGAGAAATTGTTTAAATAAAAGCACCTTTTCTGCCGTATTCAATGAAATGTGCATCAAAGAATGATTGCTGCCTAAATACACAAATTACACACACACACACACACATATATATAGTCATCACTGACTGTTTCGTTGTATCACAACTCATCAGTGTGGCTAGACGTACGATTGCCTCTAGCTAGGATCGAAACCCGACTGAATTAGAATCGGAGATTCTACCACTAATCCGTTGGCGCAAATCAGGGATGAAGGGGAATTTAAGCGAATTTAATGCCTAGCTTGCATGGCAGTTACAATTTAGATATTGACCCGGTTTTAAATAGATAAATGGGATTTGTTCTATTAAATCAAGTTATTCTTCTGTTTTGTATGCAGATTTATTTATTATGCATCTGTGTGCAGTTAATTTTATTAAAAAAGTATTTGTATTCATTAGTTTGAAAGACGACTGTACGTTTGAAATGTATGTTAAATATATGTCATTTTATGATGAGTACTATCTCTTCTTCATTTGCAATAATATTGGTATATTCATCGCAATTTACATTTTGACAACTCTCAGTACATGATGTATTTTGAAAACCTCATTAAATAAATCGTTAATAATTGTAAATAAAAGAAAACTTCATTTACTCAAATTTTACTATCTCTGAACTAAAATCAACTAGCTATTCTTCACATTTTAACGCCTCCACACTTTATTTTTTTCTGATTAACTTCAAGCTTTTCACTTCGTAATTGCCTTAATGGCGTCAAACTAGAGCCCAGGAAAATGTCGCTGCTAATGTTTGCCCTGCTCACAGGTGTTATCTGGAAATAGATAAATCTGCATTTAATCCGATAAAATGAATGAAGCCAATGTCACAATGACGAAGGAGAATGTAGCCAGAAGAAAATTGGTGTATAACAATTGGGCGAAACGTTTAATCCCTATGGCGCCATAGAAGTCGTCGGACACTTACGTGATGTGAACAATACAATAACTAGTCACTTGTAAATGATCAAATGGAGAGGCCACATGGCTTTGAAGTCCATTCTTAAACAGAAGCTACAAGTATAATATACCACTTCAATAGAAGAATTTATATTCATACCAGGCTCTAGAGTAAGCGATCTAAATGTTAAGTTCCTTTAATAGGAGCATCTCTTAAATCGTGACAGACTGAAAAGCCAATTATTCAACCTGGATATGGCCGATACACATTTGTAAAAAAAAGAGAGGTCTTTTATTGTTGAAGAACTTAATTTTCTTTAAGCGGGGATCGATATTAGATAACATTTAATAAAGCAGAAATAAATAGGTCGTGTACTTTTGAGTAAAAGTATAAAAATAGAAATCCGAATAAAGCGAAGAAAAATCCTTGAACGATTGCTATTATATATCATAGAAAAACAATCTCCTTTTATAGAAAGTTAAAAATTAGTTACAGGCAACAGAGCAAAAGAAAATGAAAAACATAATTCCTATAAATACTGTATGCATT